ACCGCGGCGGCGGCAGCGGCGGCGGCGTCGCGCTCGGCCATGGTCACCAGCATGGCCTCGATCCTGGACGGCGGCGACTATCGGCCCGAGCTCTCCATCCCGTTGCACCACGCTATGAGTATGTCCTGCGACTCGTCCCCTCCCGGCATGGGCATGACCAACACCTATACGACGCTGACGCCGCTCCAGCCGCTGCCACCCATCTCCACCGTCTCAGACAAGTTCCACCACCCGCACCCTCACCACCACCCTCACCACCACCACCACCACCACCACCAGCGTCTGTCGGGCAACGTCAGTGGCAGCTTCACCCTCATGCGCGATGAGCGCGGGCTCCCGACCATGAATAACCTTTACAGTCCTTATAAGGAGATGCCTGGCATGAGCCAGAGCCTGTCTCCTCTGGCTGCCACGCCGCTGGGCAACGGGCTGGGTGGCCTCCACAATGCTCAGCAGAGCCTGCCCAACTACGGTCCGCCGGGCCACGACAAAATGCTAAGCCCCAACTTCGACGCGCACCACACTGCCATGCTGACCCGCGGTGAGCAACACCTGTCCCGAGGCCTGGGTACCCCGCCTGCAGCCATGATGTCGCACCTCAATGGTCTGCATCACCCGGGCCACACTCAGTCCCATGGGCCAGTGCTGGCTCCTAGCCGTGAGAGGCCCCCGTCGTCCTCCTCGGGCTCGCAGGTGGCCACGTCGGGGCAACTGGAGGAGATCAACACCAAAGAGGTGGCCCAGCGCATCACCGCCGAGCTGAAGCGGTACAGCATCCCACAGGCGATCTTCGCACAGAGGGTGCTATGCCGGTCTCAGGGGACTCTCTCCGACCTGCTCCGGAATCCCAAACCGTGGAGTAAACTCAAATCTGGCAGGGAGACCTTCCGCAGGATGTGGAAGTGGCTGCAGGAGCCCGAGTTCCAGCGCATGTCAGCCCTACGCCTGGCAGGTAAGCCCGGGGGGCAACCAGCGACTAGGCCTCTGGGGAGAGAGACTGCTGTATGCTGTGGGACCTGTCTGCAGCACCTCACTAGGGTCTCTTGGTTCTGCCCCCTCTCCGCTTTACACTTCCCCTTTCTTCTCTTTCCCTTTCTTCGATTTCTACTTTCCTTATATCTTTCCTCCCTTTCTTTTTACTTTACTTCCTCTCTCGCTCCTTGTCTGTGAGTTTTCATTGAACACTCCTCTATCCCCCAATTTCAAGTGGCCTCCTCTCGGGATGCCAGCTTCTGCGCACTCTCTCACACCTTCCCCTGTAGTGGGAGACGGGATGGAGACTTTCGGTGTCCCCCTCGGAGTTCTCAGTTTCCCCGGCTCACAGAAACCAGGAACTGCCCTTAGTCAAAACCTATGCACTTAAACTCTTAAGACAACACATTTCCTTTTTCCTGGCTGCCTAGTCTCCCTAAGTGGACACTGTTGAGGGGCTTTGCTCGAAGGGAGAGAGACTTCTTCATTCCCCTCCTACCCACCAAAGCAGGCAAACTTCTTTGGTAGCTGGCAGGAGGTACACGCTTGCGGCGCCGGAACTGGCGGCCGGGGGACAACACCGCTTCCAGAGCCCAACCGCGACTCTGGTGTTAATGCAAGGACTTGGCGACCCACCGAAAGAGCCGGGTCTGGCCAGCTCCAGTGTCACTGTTAACAGGAAAGAAAGAGTGCAAAGACGCAGGCTAGGTCTGTTACATTCAGGGCTTTGGGGAAAGGAGCGAGGAGACAGTGGAAAGCGCCCTGCCTCACTCGCCTGCAGCCCTTGATCGGCTGCCAGAGATTTGCTAGGATTTTCTGAGGTTTGCCAGGACTCGGAGAGAGGGTAGGAGCTCGCGGAAAGAGGTGCTGAGAAATTAAGATCCGGGTTAGTTAATACTCCGGGCCGCCGGCTGTAAGCTCCGCCTTTGCATTAAGCGGGCGCTGATTGTGCGCCTGGCAGGGTGGCGGGGAGGGCTGGCAGCCCGCCGCAGGGGACAGCCAACGCGCGGGTTACATTGTTCTGAAGCGGGCTCTGCTCTTTGTGCCTCCTCTAGTGGCCGAGCCGCGAGGTACAGCCCTCTATTGTTCTAGGAACACAGAACCCTCCCGTGTGAGCGGCGGGTGCAAGAGTGAAAGACGCAGCAGAGGCTGCGGCTGACACACAGTTGCGCGCTTTTGTGCGCGCAGACCTCGCGCGGTGCGCGTGGCCACTGCTCTGCCCTCAGGACTGAACCGCGGACCCGGAGAGGCAAGGTCGCCAGACCCCCAGCTGGTGAGGACACACAATACCCAGCTGCACGCCTGGATGGGCGGCTTCTCTTGACTGGGTCGCGGGGCAACTCGCAGAATTGAGCTGCACTCCAGGAGAACACTTCTTGGTGGCCTTGATTTGCATAATGCCGTTATTGGGATGCGCATGGTTCTGAATCCGGCGCGCACTAACGCTCTGGATCTGCTAGCTCGGTCCTCCACTCGGGTTCCCCAAGACTTTGCCCACACCGCTGTACCCGGCTTGTGGGGTGCATTGTACACACTCCCGGCAGGGTCAGGAGATGTGACAGGTGGTGTGTTCACTGCTCTTGGGGAGGCGGTCTTACCACCCTGACAGTCCCCTCCTTTGCCCACTGTTGAGGGATTTTGATCTCCACTCAGTAACTTCCCCTGCCAACGTAAAAAGGTAAAAAATAAAAATGAAAAATAAATAAATAATAAATAAATGAACAATAGGCTTCCCTCAAAATCAGTGGGCTCGGGATACTTTTGAATAGATTTAGAAGTCTATTTTATCTTTATGCCTTTAGTTTACTCTGCATCCTCTCCTATAGTTTCCTAGGATTTGTTCTTGGTCCTGGCAAATATAAAGCAGTGAGGAGAGGGGGCATGAGGAATAAGCTGGAGGCCCCGTGACAATTCTTTACTGCACCTCTTTGTTTTAGAACACCCCCCTCCCCCCACACACACACATCACTCCGTGAAGAAGGCCCTCTTAAGAGAGCTCCAGCACTGGCTGGCTTCCTGCGCAAGGGGGCCAGAAGGAACTTGGCGGCTGCTCTTGGGGGTACACTAAGGCAGGATGTAAGCAATTCTACTTTTGTCGGTCTCGGAGCGCTGCCGCCCCCTCACGCCGGTCGTGCAAAGGACACGGCTATTTAAAAACACGAGTCTTCTGCCTATGCAGATCCTAAGGTAATGCTTCACCTATGCTACTTCGTTGAGCTTTTACAAGAGCGGGTGAAGAACGGTGTGGTACCTGGGGTCCTCAGACCCACCCCACCCCCGGGAGAATTGCGGGGTGACTCCCGGGACAGGCCTTGAGACCACAGCCCACACTTAAGGATTTTCCGCAGGAATGCCAAAGCTGCGGGACTGAAGACGGAAAGGCTCCTTCCTAGTAAAGAGCGGGAAAGTGCGACTGAGGACTCGGCTTTACTCAGGCATTCAAATGTAACCGTCTGTTTTATTACCCTAGGTTGAAAAGGGACAAGAGCTTTAGCCTTTTTATCTGACCATTTTATCAGCAACTACAAGTGTGTTGAGTGGTTATTATTACATGGGAGGCTTTTCAGTTTGGGGTCAGTAGATCAGTCTCTTCAGACACTGATGCAGAAGCTGGGACAAGTAAATAGGGTATTATGTGCTCAGTAGAGTAGGGGACTGAAGCACACGGAGAAGAAAAGGGAGGCCTTCCGGGCGAGAATGTTGATCAATTGAAATCCCTGCTGGAAAACAGCAGGGGACCCAGGCCTTTGGGAACCCGAGGTTAAGCCAGCCAGTGGCTCCCCAGGTGGCCACCCCACTCCCAGTCCTGCGCATCTCCGCGGTTTGGAGACCCCTCTTGCCACCTATTTCTCCCTCCCTCCCCTTTTTTCTCATTTTCAACCCGTCTAAGCCCAGCCAGAGGCCCTAGAGAACAGGGATCCTAGGGTCTCTGAGTTAAAACCTTAGGTTTGGCCACAGCCCTCACGCTCCACCTTTGGCAAGTATGCCCAGTTGCCTGGAAGACTGGGCATTCCTGCCTGCCTCCTATGCCCCGTCCTGAAGCTCTCCTCACTGCTTGTGCAGCTAAGTTCCAGAGACACTGAAGAGGAGGCAGGAGGACATTGGCAAAATTTAACGTTGTTTCAACATTAGATGTCAGAGAAAGAAACTCTAACCGCACACGGGGTTGCAACTGCCGAATAGGCTGGGATTGGCGGGGGGGTGCGGGGGGGGGGGTTCCCAGGTCAGATTCCGAAAGGCGGAATCTATGTTGAATTTTCTTTTTACGTTAGCAAAAGGACAAACTCATGCAGTTTTGAGCACATGCTTTCCCAGGTCTTAAGCCCGGTGGGCCTCTACACCAAACACAAACACGAACACGAAGGGACTGCGAGAACTCAGGCTAAACCCTGAACTGGGCAAGGCGCCGGGCTGAGGAAAATCCAGGCCTAGCTACGGTTTTTTCCGACGGCGGAAAACTGAGCTCAGCTGTGATTATTTTCGCTCTGGAGGTTTCTGACACCCAGGAGGCGGAATCGGCCGGTGGTCCGCTCACAACTAACCTCCCGGCCCAACTGCGCAAAGACGCACAGCCTTCAGTCAGGCTGGATCCAGCGCAGTTATGGTAGTCGAAGACACTTCGTTAACCTAGATGTCGGCTGACCCACTGGCCGCCCGCCACAGTGGTATCGCCCATGTGCAGCACCGCGGCTCCTTTCGAGGCAATGGTGCTTGCGTGTGGTCTGCTGCCCTAAGGTACTTAGATGATGCGGGGCACACGTCTGCTAGACGTTGAACACGTCGGTTCAAGAAAGACCTCCTCCTTAGCGCTCCCCTATTCCCCATCCCTTCGGCCCCTCCACCCGGCTTTGCAGGCTCCCGGCCCTGCCTGCCACTTCCCGAGCCTTAGTTCGGGATCCGAGCCGACGAGGCCAAACACAGCCCACATCGGTACGGAACCGACTGTTAGCTGGCTGGCTGATCAGATTAATAACTGAAAACCTCACTGCCGGTCTGTGTGCGCTTCAAGTCCCTAGTGCCGGAAGGATGCCTTCCTAACACAGACCAGGGTGGGCGGGAGTGCGCAGAGGAGGCGGGACAGGAGGGAGCCGAGTGAACCCGAGCTCCAGAAGAATCCCAGGCCGCCGGAAGCCCTGGATGCGAGAGGCCACTCATTTATTTTTATTCCAGGCTTTCCACCGTGTGGTTATGTCACTTTCTCAAACAAATGTGTATATGGAGGGAGATCGATGCTGATAATGTTTAGAAGATTAAAAGAGCATTAATGCTGGCAACAATAACGTAAACGTGTGGACCCAGATTTCATTGATCTGGAACTTGATCCAGCGCATTTCCAGTAAGTCGGACCGCGGCGCGCTCTTCCCAGCAGAGCGCTCGCCAGCGCCCAGGCTCCCTGACGCTCCCCCGCGCCGCTTCGCCAGCCTAGGGGTAGGTTCTCGGGTCAGACCACAACTCCTCCCCCGAGCAGCTGGAGCCAGATCCTGTCTCACCAGGGTCCCTTTCTCTCTCTCTCTCTCTCTCTCTCTCTCTCTCTCTCTCTGCCTTTTTCCTTCCCCCGTGATCGCGCACGCTGTGCTCTCTGTGAGCTCGACGGTCCCAGGGGTGACTCTGTATGAACGCAAGGCACAGAACTGCGCCCCCAATCCTCCCAGCCTTCCTGTCCTTGACTGTCATCTTTGGATCGCTGTGGCCCCGCACTTGGTCCAATAGTATTCTGACCAATTCTCTTTTCTTTTGAATTGAAAGCGTCCTGGAAAGCCCCGTTAGTTTCGAAATTTGGTATCGATTCAGTTTGGAAATAACGTGTCGAAAGCTGTCTCTGTGAACTTCACACCTTAATGATTCCAGTATGCCCCATTCTTACAGTACCCTTTTTAGACTCTGCACTGTCGCTGTAGTTGGGCACTTAAACCCAACCTCGGCAACAAAAGCTTGGGCTTCGTCACTCAGAATGGCCTGTTCTACACTGGGCTAATTGAG